TAGAACATACGTGAAATATGAACACGCGCATTCATGTGTTCTCTATGTACATAATGCAGAAGGAAGAACTGGAAAGAATGAAGGACGTGTTGCATGATTTTATGGATTACATGGAAGATCCATACGGCACGGTGGATGCCTTAGGGGCGAATTGTTATAATACAGGTTGGAACGATATAGACCAGGACGACATCTATTACAAGGAGCAAACAGTAGCGGACGTAGTACGGTGCAGACTCCTGACACGAGCATTGTGGTTTGCGAACGGTGACAACACACAACACAAGAACGCGAACGGGGGAAGTGCGCATATGAGTGCAGACGAGGAGAGACTGAGATGCGACGTAGTTAACGCTTTTGGGTATATACTGCACCACAAGTATTGTGCACATAAGACAGCCTGGACAAGAGGCATAAAGTATGCCTGGAAAACAGTGAAATCCATGGGAGACCCTGGAGGAATTAAGGGAGCAGACAGAGGTCCTGTAATTGACGCAAGGTGCACAGAATGTGGCTATGACATTAAGAACCCGGTAGTGAGAGTAGTAAACGGACACATGGCACAGTTGTTAATACATGAGGGGAACCTAATGCACAAAATAGGACAATTGGAGCGTACCGCGCACTGCGCTATGCAGTGGAAGGACTATAAGTCGGGTCCGGGGAGGACTGATGGCAACGGAAACGTGGACTGGAAAAATATCCCTGAAGTAACAAAAACGGAAAAGGAGATAGTACAAAAAACGCAGGCGGCAATTCAGGAAGTGACAGCAAAAATAGACGAAGAAATTGAAAAAAAGAAAAGTGAACAAGATAAAGGTAAAGATACGAATACGACTCGTAAGAATACGCATATACGGCCGATACCGCTGATACGGATACGACCGCATAGGGCCCAATACGAATGGCACGACTGACTACGGCCACATACGTACCGTACGAAAAGCACGGATGCGAGGCATGCCGCCACAACAACACGCGGCGACAACAACGCACGCGCGAACAACAACGCACACGCGGGGGGGAACAGCACAACAGCACAGGGCGGCCACTTCGCTGCCTCACGTAGTGTGAGCGGCGACCACAGCGGCGGCCACAGCGGCGGCCACAGCGGCGATGGCCACAACGACAAATAAAAGTGTACTGCTACCATCTACCCCCAGTTCACCGAGTGCGCCACCCACCATGCTTTTCCTTCCTTTCTTCTTTTTGCTTCTAACACTGTCCGGCCATTGCTGTACCACTTGTGTTCCTTTTTTTTTTTATCATCTTTGTACCATTTTGTCTTCCTTCTCCTTTTTTCAGCAGCGGAAGCCAAGAAGAAAAACGAGGACGGCAAGAAGTCAACGGACGCCAGTACTAAGGACCAAAGTACTGAGAAGGCGCAACTACCGGCGGCTCCAGTATTACCAGCCAGACCACCACCACCAGCTCCACCACCAGGACAGCAGACGCCGAAGGACAGTAGAGACAGCAGTTCACGTAAGTACCATGTATCAGGCGACACGTCAACCTGTGGGATCCACACACACAGTGAGACTAAGGAGGTAAATGGGAGTACCGCCACCATTACAATCACTACCGTGAATTCCCCATCCACTGGATGCTCCGGAAGTGGTACCTCAGGTAGTGAGTCCGATGAGAACAAAGAACGAGAGAACAAAAAAAAAAAAAAAAAAAAAAACACAAACACAGCATCTCAGAGACAAAAACAGAGGCGAATGAGACTCACCGGCACAGCGATCGGTCGGCCGCGGCAGACCCCGACAGCCGCGGGTTGTAGACGTCGACAGACGTCGACACAGACAGACACGCACACACTGTGTTGTGTGTTGTGTGTTGTGTGTCGGCGAGAGAGAGTCCTTTGCCGGGGTGGCACCGTAACCACCGTTCGCACCTTGGCCAACCATCCAGCGGCGGACCATGTGCCCAACCGACCGTGGTGAACCTGTGGCAAATCCACCAGCGTTTCAAACTTTAGCTTCATTACGTTCACTTTTCCTTCCGAATTTACAGGTAATGATCCTTCCGCAGTAAGGACGACTACTAGTCAGGATCCATCAGTAGTCACAGCAGCACCCGCACCGGGACCAGTACCACCAGCAGAAACGGAATCAGCACCTGCACCACAGCCGCATCCGACGAACTCAGCACCAGCGTCACCGCGACAGATACCCGGCAACGCAGCCGGCCAGGACGACACAGAACCCGCCAAAACAGTAGCGGCGACACCGGCATCACCACCGTCATCGGGCACTGCCCTGACGACGACATCATCGGGTGGTGGTGGTGGCAAGGCTGGTTCTGCACTTGATGGAGCCCACGGCACGCAGGCCGTTGATGGCGGCAACCATGACCCCTCTCCTCTCAATCCACCGCCACCAAAACCGAACCCGAACCCAAATCAATCGGGTAGTAGTGGCAGTTTCAGTGATGCTGATTTGGCGAATGGAGTTTCTGGTGGGAACGGACAGGCAGGTGCTGCCGGGGGCGCACCAGGACGTGCTGGCGCAGGCGGCAGTAGTGGTGGTGGTGGACGCGGTGGAGAACGTGGTAGCGGCACTGAAGTTGGCACCCCTTCCGTGCCGCCCGGCCTCAGATGGGAAGATGTCATCCCCTATACCCTTGCCCTCATTCCCGCGGTGGTTGGTATTGGGGTTATTGCGTTTGTCCTATGGAAGGTAAGTATATACGACAATGACGGAATGCCGCATGTGCAGGATGTTTATACCTCAGAACATCCCTACGGGCTCCAATATATGATCGTTCTAACCAATATGCCCCTACACCCGCGTTCATTCCTTTTTTCCTACCGTCCTCACCCTCCTCTTTACCCCCCTTTTTCTGCTTAGTATTTTACGCACCTCGCCCCACGACGACGAACATATCGAACCGTTCGTGACGTGCCGTCACCGCCACTAGACGAAGAAATATTGCAGCATCTGCAACGAGGCGAACTACCGCCACCCGATTACGGGTACACGGTGGTTAGGGATAGGCCACCCGCGTCAACATCCGCTAGAGCACGCCCACCACGCGTGCATAAGCGCACGATCATCGAGCTACATCTAGAAGTGCTCCACGAATGTGAAGTGGCGGCATGGGAAAACGTCAAAGACGACTATTTGCACATACTCGTTGAAGAGTTTATGGCGGGCCACAACACCTGTACAAGTAGCTCGAATGTCTGTACCCGAGACGACGGTTTAGCAACCCAGGACTCAACAACAAACGCCGATTCACCAACGCGCGATACACCCAGTGACTCCGAACAAACAGACCCTTGTCGACCTCATAACCCCGATCCATGGAGTTGTATGGAAATCATACAGTTAGCAACGGACCCTTGTGCACCTCACGACGACGACCGATGGAGTTGTATGGAAACCATACAGTTAGACCATGCACAACATCGCCCTTCCGACAACGGGGACGCGACGTCGGCGTGCACCCAATGGATTAACTGGATTGACCACCACAAGCATCTATTGCACGAGTGCATGACACAGCCATGGTTTAATGCCCTCAAAACGGAATGGAAACAATACCTGCGTGAGCACATGGCGGCAGACGCCAACAACGGGCAGCGTGCACTCGGTGAGCGTTTCAATATCCCATCCGCAGTGATGAAGAAAGATGCCTGGAAAAAGTGGCTCGACCAGCAACATCGGAACATGCGTATGTATAACGCGCTGGAGTGGTTTCCACGTTTGTTGCATAATGTACAGGAGCACACAGAATCGCACAAAGGCGCAGTACCTGTAGTGGGAAAGGACTTAGAAGTGGAAAAAGCCATGGGACCAGCAGATATACGGAGAGTGCGAGATGTACCACGGTCGCAACTGCATCAACAACCTCACATGAAAACAGTGTTAACCGCCAAAATATGGATACTGATCCTTGCATTAGTCATAGAACACTGCGAGGTTGACAGCCGTTTGCAGCAGACGGAGTTATATGTAGATCATCTATTGCAAAATTGTTAACATTAGGATGACGGGGCATATGAATGTGAACTAACGCATGCTGACCGTACACCACTTTTACTTCATTATGTGATATACATAATATATTTCTAGTTTACATTATTCTATACCGTCTTTTTTTTTTTTCTGCTCTGTTCTGCTGACTTCTGTTTCTTTCTGTTTACTTGTGGTTTGTTTTGTGCTTGTTATGTAGTCAACTTCTTTTAACATGACCATAGGAACAGGTGCGTACGGGTTACATGCATATAAAATGTAGATTTAAATGAATAATATGACGGGGTAGTCTTCTCCTTTATGGGAACTTAATTATTAACAGATGCGCACGTGCATTCTACGGGTATAGTGCACAACAAATATAGCATGCGACTACGCATTCGAGTATAAGGAGACATTGTCTCTCCGAGCAAACGCGTTGACCAACGCGGCCGGGTAGAGGCCATTGTCCGCGTAACGCGACCGCGTGTAACAACGATTCGACGAAGTAGCCGAGTAAGCATTGTGCCGAGTGTAAGAAAGGAGGGAGCGCTTGTCTCTCCGAGCAAACGCGGCCCGGGTAAACCGCATTGTAGCCGAGTGTAAGAAGGGAGAGATTGTCTCTCCGCGCACACGCGTCGACCAACGCGGCCGAGTAAGCACGGCTATTGTGTGCGAGCAAACGCGGCCGCGTGCAACACCGATTGGACGAAGTCGCCGGGTGTAACCACGATTCGACGTAGTAGCCGAGTGTAAGAAGGAGGAGAGATTGTCTGTCCGCGCAAACGCGTCCACCACAGCGGCCGAGTAAGCACGGCTATTGTGTGCGAGCAAACGCGGCCGAGTGTAACCACGATTCGACGAAGTAGCCGAGTGTACGAAGAAGGAGAGATTGTCTCTCCGAGCAAACGCGTCGACCAACGCGGCCGGGTAAAGGCTTGCTCGAGGCAAGGATCCAGAGGCGACTCCAGAGAGGGAGCAAACAGAGGGCGGGGGCGAAGGCGAAGGAACACACATATTATATCGGAGCAGGCAGGGGGAATTGAGATTCACTTGGATTAGTGTAGAAGAGGTATTTGTTGTGAAGGGGGGTATTTTTTTGTTAAGGGGTGTATTTTTTTGTTAATGGGTGATGAGATTACGTGTGCTGTTCCTAAGAGTACTATTGTTGAGGGCGTATTTGGGTTCAGGATTTTAGTGGGGGACAACTATTTTGAGTATGCAGGAGTAGAAGTTTCTGTGGGAAGCATATTATTCCGCAGGATAATGTTCACTTAATGTGGACTTTGAATAAGCATCAAGGACAGTGTCATCCTATATAGAAGGAAAACAGTGAGCACGCAATGTGGGAATATTTAATATTATTATGGGACAGATTTATTGAGAAGGGGAATACAGGGGTCAAGGAGCAGGATATTGTGCAATATAAGGTATGTTCATATATATAGAATAATGGAGGAAAGGCATGAATGGTATTATGAGGCAATATTACAATGAAACTGAGGCATTCTTTGGGGACTCATGTTCGTCGCTGTTGGTAGCTGCTATAAGTTCTTCAAAAGACGGGAAGGCAAAAGGGGAATATATATATATACGAAGGACAGTATAATAGTGTTTAACATTATGTAGAAAACTAGAGTGAAGGAAAGTGTATAATTCGCATAAGAATACATAATGTATGTTATACCCATAGGAATATTTCTGGGAGAACGTGAAGACAGTATGGCAGAAATTTAAGGACTATATGAAGCAAAAGGAGAACGCAGGTGACATGAAGGTCATGTGTGATGCATTAATAGATCCGGACGCTAGTGGAGGGGGAAGTCAGACGGACAGAGATATGTGTGAGTTAACACTGATAGCATTACACTTTAAACATGAAATTCATGAAGCCGTGGCGAATAAGACCTCAGGGCATATAGACAATGAGATCAATGCGCAGAAGACAATAATGTTATATATGAGGTGCATTTTAGTAAATATTTTTATGAAGAAAATTATAGGCAGAAATTGTTTACAGCGCACTGGTGGACAGCAGGCATTTGGTGCAGCGGACGGGATATTCAAAAATATGGCAGGAAAGGAGGTAGGTAATATTGAGTGTGAGCGGAAGGATGCAGGGGAAGGAGGTATAAAGGGGGTACGAGAGGAACATAGAACTTTCTGGCAAATAATGGACAGGTGGTTTGATAGGACTAAAATGCTGTTAAGGGATGGGGACTGGGGAGTATTAGGGGAAAGTTGCATGGTAGAAAAAAAAAAAACAAATGGAGGAAGGGACGAACAGTTGGGTGACTTGAAAGAGAACGTAAAAAAACAAATGGAAGAGGTTGGGGACGATATTGCGCAGAAAATAGAGAGAATATTACCGAAGGTCAAAACATGTACATCTAAAGAATGTGTGAAGAGTGCAATAGAACAAGAGAAGCAGAAGGATTCTCTTTCCACAGCTCCCAAAGGTAAAGGAGACGGACAGTCGGGACCACCGCCCGGCAAACCCGCCCCGGCCAAACCAGCAGCAGCCAAACCACCCGGCAGCGACGGACACGCAGTATCGGCGCAACCAGTAGCGGCGCAAACACCGGTAGCACCACCATCAAGGGGGACGTCATCATCGGGGGCGATGGCATCATCTGGTGGTGGTGGTAAGGGTGGTGGTGGTGGTAAGGCTGCCGGTGGAGTAAGCAAGGGCACGGGCAAGACCGTGAAGGCTGGAAAAGGACAGGAATGTGATGGCGACTTGGCACGGAGGGACCAGCCTAGCACAGTGTACGTGGTGCCCCCACGTGATGTAAGTTAGATTAAACAGCGAGAGCAGGCATGACCACGACGCCGGAATGGAACACACAGGAATTTATTCATAAGGGCACGTGCACATATATGTGTGGGTGTACGTGTATTCAGGAGGAAGAGTGTCGCGAACAATAATCAGCAATATTTAAATATGTTCATGTGCAACACGTAGGATAATGAATGGAACAAGTGGAAGCAAGTGTTGCAGGAATTTACGGAACATATGGAGGAAAAAAACGACCTCAATGATGCATATGGTGAAAATTGTCACAATTCTGGTTGGGATGATATAAAAGACGACGGCACATTGTTCATGGGCCAAACAGTAGCGGACGTACTCAGGTGCAAAGTTATGAGTGTTGCATGGGGTTTCGCAAATGGGTGGGGCCAGAAGACGGACACGTGGGCAGGAAAGAGTGAAGCACAGAGGACAGATATAGACATGTTAAGGTGCGAAGTAGCAAATATATTTGGACATATACTACAGGCAATGTATTGTCCGCGACAGACAACGTGGAAAAGAGGTATAGAGTATTCCCGGATAGCATTCAGGAAAATGCAAAGCACAGGAAAAAATGGAGCTGGAGTGGTAGCGGGTCCTGTTATCGACGGCAGGTGTACAGCATGTGGGTACGGCGAGAATCGAAGGTGGGCACACGCCATAAATTTGAAAGTAGTAGAGTGGCTCATGCAGGACGCAGGAATATTGGGAGAAATAAAGGCAATGGAGAAGCAATGGCCGTGTAACACACAATGGAAAGATTACATTAAGCAGCTGGACCCAGGGTCGAGCTATATTGAGGAGGGGAACACACCAGGGGGCAATCTCAAAGACCGTTTGAGCGACGTAGGGAAGGAGAAGATACAGGAAGCACAGAAACAGATGAAAGGAACAGTAACAAAGATAATTAAGAAAGTGCAGGACGCAACGGAGGAAATAACGAAGGCAGCAAAGGAGGGGTATGAGGAAGAGCACAAGAAAGCACAAAAGGAAATTGCGGACGGTAAGTATACGGATAGTAGCAATACGAATCCGTACTGCCGCATATGGATGCCGCCAACAACAACAACAACACGCACAAACGCAACGGTGCGCAACACGCACACGCGGCGAGAACATCACCACTTTGCTGCCCTACGTGGCTTGAGGGGCGGCCACGACGGCAGCTGCCCCACTTTGCTTGACGTTGAGCGGACAGGACGGAACCGATAGCGGTAGCGGCGCGGGATACACCGGAGTTGAGATGACGGCAACATAAATGTACTGCTATCATGTATCCACACAGTCCACCTAGACCCAGTCGACCGAGTTCACCTCACCGCACGCTTGCTGCCGCCTGACCCAATTCACCGAGTCCACCTCGATCCACTGCATCGACCCACTGCATCGACGCATGCAGCCGGACCGTACCCTGGCGCTGCCTGACCACACCGTCCCGCCCATGTTGTGCCACTTGTGTCCCTTTTTTTTTTTATCATCTTTTCGTCCATGTTCCTTCTTCCTTTGCAGCGACGGAGAAGACAAGCAAGGACAAGGACAGTCCTGCGCGACCCCCTGCACTTGAGGGAACAGAGGCAGGAACATCAGGGCCACCACAGGCAGCGGAAACTAAGAGCCCCAAAGCAGCAGGATCCAATGATAAAGACCCAGGCGGCACACAACCACAAGCACCGGCATCCCCAGTATTACCAGCAAGACCACCACCACCTCCTCCACCCAAGGGGAAAGCTTCTGAGGGCACCCAGGGGGGGAACGATGCAGACAAAGCAGGTAAGTGCACAGAGAGTTCCACCAGTACGATTACGCACGGATCCAGCGTTAGCGTAAGCCTCGGGTGCACTCCAGATTCCGCGTTGGGAGTTCCCCCTAGTACACTCCTGAGTCCCACGGATCCAGCGCCAGGTAACAATTCCTATGCACCATAGTGCAAATAAACACCCGAAGTAACATTAGAGGCACAAAAAAAAAGAAACAACAACTTTTCCGGAGAGAGCGGGACACACAAGACGCACAGAGAGATACCACGGCTAGAACACCGAGAGCGAAACCACACGTCGAATGAGAGTAACCGGCAGAGCGATGGGGCGGCCGCGGCATGTAGACAGACAGACGTAGACAGACGCACGTCGACAGACAGACCGACACACACTGTGTGTTGTGTTGTGTTGTGTGTGTTGTGTGGCAGCGACACAGTGCCTTCCCGCGGTGGCACCAGCCAACCATCCAGCGGCGGACCGTGTGGCCAACCGACCGGGGTGAACCATCCGAAACATAACTTCAGTTTCATCACATTCTGCTTCCTTCCCTTTCCCTGTCTCCCCATTCACCACATGTTCAGGCGATGCCGTCGTCGTTGACGGCGGTAACGATGACCCCCCTCCTCTCAATCCACCCAAACCAAAACCGAACCCGAACCCAAATCAATCGGGTAGTAGTGGCAGTTTCAGTGATGCTGATTTGGCGAATGGAGTTTCTGGTGGGAACGGACAGGCAGGTGCTGCCGGGGGCGCACCAGGACGTGCTGGCGCAGGCGGCAGTAGTGGTGGTGGTGGACGCGGTGGAGAACGTGGTAGCGGCACTGAAGTTGGCACCCCTTCCGTGCCGCCCGGCCTCACATGGGAAGATGTCAAGCCGTACACCCCCGCCATGATCCCCGCGGTGGTTGGTATTGGCGTCGTTGCCTTTTTCCTATGGAAGGTAAGTATATACGGCAATCACGGAATGCCGCACGTGCAGGATGTTTATACCTCAGAACATCCCTACGCGCTTCACTATAAGATCGTTCTAACCAATATACTGCTACACCCACGTTCATTCCTTTTATCCTACCGTGCCCACCCTCGTCTTTACCCCCTTTTTCTTTGCTTAGTACTTTGCGTACGTCGCCAAACGCCGACGAACATATCGAACCGTTCGTGACATCCCGTCACCGCCACTCGACGAAGAAATACTCGACCATCTACAACGCGGCGCACTACGGCCACCCGATTACGGGTACACGATGGTTAGGGATACGCGGCCTGCATCTGCTGCGGAGCGACGACGACGACGCCATCCACGGGTGCATAAGCGCACAATCATCGAGCTACATCTAGAACTGCTCAACGAATGTGAAGCGGCCGCATGGGAAAACGTCAAAGACGACTATTTGCAAATACTCGTTGAAGAGTTTATGGCGGGCAACAACGGACATAGTAGTTGCCCCGATGCTCCTAGCACAAACCAGGATTTATCAGGGAACAATGTGTCCTCCACCGTGGATCCATCCACCGAGTCCGACGGAACAGATCCATGTCCACCACATGCACATGACCCATGGAGTTGCATGGAAACCATACAGTTAGAAGAGGAACAGAGTCCTGCCCCTACTGTTCCGGGGGCCGCGAAGTCGTACTGCACCCAATGGATTACCTGGATTGACCGCAACAAGCATCTATTGCGGGCGTGCACGACGAAGCCGTGGTTTTTGCAGCTAACGTTGGCATGGAAACGATACCTGCGTGATCACATGGCGGCAAACGAAGCATCCGGTGAGCACAGGACAGCGGCAACCGTGCCGATGCAGAAACTGCGGTTGTGGAAACAATGGGTGTCCCAACAACATCGGCACATGCGTATGTATAGTGAGCAGGAGTGGTTTCAACATTTGTTGAATACTGTACAGGAGGCGACAGTGTCGGAAAAAGGCGAAGTACCTCGAGTAGAAACACACTTAGAAGTGGAACAAGTAACGGCAGCAGCAAATATGCTACGCGTGAGAGATATACCACGGACGCAACCACTCCATGAGCAATACTACAAGCAGAAACACTTAATTGCCAAATTGTGGCTACTCCTCCTTTCGTCCGTTATAGAAGACTGCGCGCTCGAACGCAATTTGCAGGATAGGGAGTTATATGTGGATGCTTTATTACGGAATATGCTACATTAGGATGAAGGCGCTCATGCATGCGAAATAACGCATGCTCATCGTACACCACTTTTACTTCATTATATGATATACATAATATATTTCTTGTTTGTACTATTCCATACCTTCTTTTTTTTTTCTGCTCTGTTCTGCTGACTTCTGTTTTCTTTTGCCTTGTTTTGTTCTTGTTATCTAGTGAACTTCTTTTAACATGACCATAGTAACCGGTGGGTACCGGTTACATGCATATAACATGTAGATTTACATGAACAATATGAACGGGTCGTATTCTCCTTTATGGGAAATTATTTATTAACAGATGAGCACGTGCATTCTACGCGCATAGTGCAGCACAAATATAGAATGCGCATAATCATTCGAGTATAAGGAGACCTTGTCTCTCCGCGCAAACGCGGCCGCGTAAACCGCATTGTAGCCGAGTGTAAGAAGGTACACATTGTCTCTCCGAGAAAACGTGGCCGGATAAACACGACTGTCCGAGTGCAGCGGATTCGACGAAGTAGCCGAGTGTAAGAAGGAGGATAGATTGTATCGCCGAGCACACGCGGCCGCGTACAGCATTGTCGTCGCGTGTACGACGGTACACATTGTCTCTCCGAGCAAACGCGTCGAGCAACGCGGCCGATTGTAACCACGATTCGACGAAGGATTGTCCGAGTGTAAGACAGGAGGGAGAGATTGTCTCTCCGAGCAAACGCGGCCGGGTAAAGGAGATTGTGTCCGAGTGTAAGAACGATTCGACGAAGTAGCCGAGCACACGTGGCCGATTGTACGGGCTTGTCGACGAAGGATTGTCCGAGTGTAAGAACGGAGGGAGAGATTGTCTCTCCGAGCAAACGCGTCGGTCCGAGTGCAAGACCGATTCGACGAAGTAGCCGAGTGTAAGAACGGAGGAGAGATTGTCCTTCCGAGCAAACGTGGCCGCGTAAACCGCATTGTAGCCGAGTGTAACCACGATTCGACGAAGTAGCCGAGTGTAACACCGGAGCAGAGATTGTCTCTCTGAGCACACGTGGCCGGCTACAGGGGATTGTCGACGAGGTAGCCGCGTGCAACACGCAGGACCATTGTCTCCGAGCAAATGCGGCCGAGTCCGTACCGGAGTCAGCACCATTCGACGAAGTATTGTCCGAGTGTAAGAACGGAGGGAGAGATTGTCTCTCCGAGCAAACGTGTCGACCAACGCGGCCGATTGTAACAACGATTCGACGAAGTAGCCGAGCAAACGCGGCCGAATGTAAGAACGGAGGACGATTGTCTCTCCGAGCAAACGCGGCCAACTGCAACACCGATTCGACGACGTAGCCCAGTACCAAGGCCGAGTGTACGACGGAAGAAGACATTGATGTTGTTGTTATTACTGCGGTTTGGTTGTGTACGCACACACAGAGACAGTGTGTGTGACAGGCGTTTAGTGGAGAACGGGTGTTGTTTTTAAGGGGTTTATTCATGACGCGTTTTGCGTGTGTAGGCAGTAGTAGTAGTACTGTTTTTTTTTTTTTTTTCTTCTACAGAGGTTGCAGACGGTCGGCAGGACGGCGGAACAAGCATTGATTTTGTTGTTATACTGCGGTGTAGCCTACACCGGTATACAAAGGCGTATTCATGACGCGTTGTGTTTGAATGGTAGTGTCGTGTACTTTTTGCTATTTTTTCCTGTCGTTTTGTTTTTTTTATTTTTTTAATTTTTATTCGTTCTTTTTTTTTTTTCTTTCTCTTCTTGTTATTCTATCCTGGTATTTTTTTCTCTTTTCTCGATATAGTTCTACCTTAGCGAAGCTATAACTAGTGTACGGTAGCACACTAGTGAGCACAGGTACCAAGGATACCAGCACTTCGCGTAAATATTGTTGTAGACATGCAGGAACAATAATTAGTTAGCAAAATATGAACATATTAAGACACAGAATGTTATAAGCGTTACCATTGAATATATGTAGCATAGTAATATTTCCAAGGGTCTGGACACTTTATAGTATACTAACACAATAATACTAACATGTCAGCAGCGAACCTAGCCCAGCTGTTGGCCCAATGGGTACGGGAAGCGGGCATTTCCAAACAGGACGAGTATGAGGTAGGAGCACACAGGAATAGAATACCAAAACGGGTGGTTACGTGATAGGGTTTTATTGGTGAAAAAGAGAGTGGATCGCAGCGGCGCAAATAGCATTAAAGCACACATGAGCGTGTATATATTGCCTGTGTTTCTCTTACATTGTAGGAAGCAGTGTGGAACAAGACCAAAGAGGTCATGGCAGAATTTGTGAATTACATGGACGACGACAACATAATACCGTATGCATCGAACTGTGATAACGCAGGATGGAACCTTCCCGGACGTCCTGGCGACGGTGACATCTATTTTGGACAGACGGTGGGCGATAAGATTGTATGCGTACTTATGGTAGGGGCCTTATTTTTCATGAATGGGTGGACTAGTACAGAAATGACTAGACTGAAGGAAGATAAAATCAGTGAAAGAATAAGGGAGCACTTACGATGCATAATAGTACATATGTTTAGCGCCGTATTAGACGCATACGTGTGTCCGAGTGGGCGGGGCACATCCTATGCATGGAGACAGATGGAAGGAATGCACAGTGGGCCCGGCAGTTGGGGGGGGGGTTCGATAGAGCGGGGAAAATGTGGTAGAGAACTAGTTGCGCATGGGAAGATGCGAACACTTGACTTAAATGCAGAAGTAAAGAAATGGTTAGGGGGAAACAGCAAACTACAAAAACGACTTAAAAACGTGAAGGGAACTGCAGCATGTCGGACACAATGGCAGCAGAAATGGAAAATAGAGGAATTCTTGAACAATGAGAATATGCAGAATCAGGAGAACTTAGAGATTACTCGAGAAGTGCACGACTTGAGGGAAGGCATGAAGGACATATTAAAGGAGCTCGCGAGAGAGGTGGAGCAGGGCGAAGAAGAGAGGCTACGGGCGAAGAAGAGGAAGTTAGGTGAGACAGGCGAGGTTTGGGCAGAAGGAAACAAATTAGAAAGACGGAGGCAGCATAAGCACACACACGACAACTACAGACAGTGTAGAAGTAAAAGGGACAGAGCAACACGAAACAACATGCAGATATGTGAACAACGTTCATTCCTGTATCCTTCCAAGAATACCAAAAGTACATACGGACACTTCTAATTCCCATTTTTGCCCTTTATTGCAGCGAAGGATGGCCAAAACGGACAGGCCTCCACCAAGGCGCGAACACCATCATCCAAGGAAGCGCCAGGTAAGGACCGATGGGGAGAAAGCACGAATACGGACACTACGCAAACGGCTGGACACGGCCGGCACGGACACGAGCGCCACCAATACGACTGCGCACGAATATGGATGCCGCCACCACAACACCGCAACGGACGCAACACACACGCACGGCCACAACACGCACGCAGCGACGACGGGAGCGGTAGCGGTAGGGGCGACCACTGTGTACACGAGTGTGCAGCGTACCGTGCACAGACGACGAGGGACGAAATGACGGCCACAAATATAAGTGTACTGCTATCATCCGTCCACCTGACCGTGCTCTTGCTGCAGCGTCACCGACCATCCAGTTCACCGAGTGCACCTCGACCCACTGCGTCGACCCACTGCACCGAGCCGGAAGGTACCCTGTCGCTACCTGACCGCACCGTCCCGGCCCTTTCTTTCTGTACCAATTGTGTTCTGTTGTTGTTTTATCACCTTTCTAACATCGTTCTACCGTCTTTCTTCCGTTCTTGCTTATTGTAGCGAAGGACAGCAAGAGCAAGGCGGCCTCAGACGGTAATGGGGACAAGACCAAGAAGACAGAAGAGCCACCACCGAAGAAGCCAGAAGATCCACCAGCTAAGGTACCAGAGGCACCAAAGGAGGTTGTTCCTGAGAAGAAAGTACCAAAGGCACCAGTATCAGGGGGAGATTCAGTATCCAGGGCAGATCCCACAGCTGGAGGACAGGATGGGGTAGCGACAGTATCGGGGCAGCAACCACAAGCACCGGCACCCCCAGTATTACCAGCATCACCACCGGCACCACAACCGCCACCTGCGGCACCAACAACGGAAGCAGGGGTTGGACGAGCCGGAGCCGCAGCAGGGGCAGACGGGAACTCCACAGAACCAACGGTTAAGGTTTCGGATGCAAAGTCCCCAGGTAAGGCGCCATGTCCCGACAGCAACGGCACATCTACAGGTGTCTCCATTAGTTGTGAGACTACCTCGGATGCAGCACTGGGCGAGACACCAGAAGTCAAAAAACTCCTGGAGGAGGAAGACAAGAACAAGGCAGGTACAGCCTTGAGGGAGTGTAACAGACGACGGTAGTGTCCGGAGTGCATGTCGACCACAAAATCAAACAGAGCACACAAAACACAGACATCAACAATTTCCGCAGAGACAGGGAGAGACACCACGGAGCGAAAGCGAAACCAAACGTCGAATAAGAATGAGCGGGACGCAGAGCGTCAGCGGACAGAGCGATGGGTCGGCCGCTGGATGTAGACGTAGCCCGATGTCGCCACACACACTGTGTTGTGTGTTGTGTGGGACAGAGAGCGAGTCTTTTCCCCGGGGTGGCACCTTGCCCCAGTCCGCCGGGGTCATCAGTTAAACGACGGCAACGAACTATCAGCGACTGGACGGTGAGTCCAACGATCGGTTGCATCGTGTGAGCAATCAACCATACAACGCAAACTTCAGTGTGCTCATGTGTTCCTTCACCCTCCTTTACTTCAATTTACAGGTGCAGATCGCAGAAAAAGTAACAGTGTACCAGAGCCTCCCGCAGCAGCTGAAGCAGCACCTGCAGAATCCACACCAGCACCAGCTACACCTGTACCTGCAGGAACACCTGCTGTGTCCACGGAAGTAACAGCGATAACTACTGCATCCACGGAGAATCCACCACCAACAGGAGTACATACTACAGTAACAGGAACAGGAGCAGGAACGGGAGCCACTGTTACCACCGCCAGTACCGGTGCGGATGACCCCCCTCCTCTCAATCCACCCAAACCTACAGCGAACCCGAACCCAAATCAATCGGGGTCGAGCGGCAGCGGCGCAGGCGGCCGCGGTACTGGTACTGCACAAGGTGCAGGAAGTGGTGGGGCAGGTGCAGAGCCAAGTGCAGGTAGCGCACATGCAGGATCAGGTTCTACTGGTCACCAAACCCCGGGTTCCTCAGGACCAGGTGCAACGGGGACTGTGAAACCAAATTCCTCAGGCACTGGTTCTACCGGTCATGGTACTGCAACTACAGGAGGTGACGGAGGTGGCTGGGCACTGAACCTGAAACTACCAAAACCAAACGGTAACTTCGGAGGATCCTATGGAACAGGTCCCACACCCGATCCACATGGTACAAGCTCCAGTACACCTAAGGAAGGCGGCACTCTTGCCCCCGACCTAACCGCCGATGTCTTTACCGCCACTACTCCCGTACTCTTCTTCCTGTCCGCCGTCGCCGTCGCTCTTCTTGGTTATTCCCTGTGGAAGCTACGTATACACGTAACACCGTGTATGCGTATCCGTAATATGTACCATAGAAAAATGTGTTCCTAAGCGGGATCTTTTCATCATTCCAACACAAATAGATTCACCGCACCCGGCTTTTTTTCTTCTTTTTTTTTTTTGTTTAGTACTTTGCGTACCTCGGAACAAAACGACGACGAAAATATCGAACCGTTCGTGACGTGCCGTCACCGCCACTCGACGAACAAATATTAGACCATCTACAACGCGGCGAACGTCCGCCACCACCCGATTACGGGTACACGGTGGTTAGGGATAGGCCACCCGCGTTAACATCCGCTAGAGCACGCCCACCACGCGTGCATAAGCGCACGATCATCGAGCTACATTTAGAAATGCTCAACGAATGTGAAGTGGCGGCATGGGAAAACGTCAAAGACGACTATTTGCACATACTCGTTGAAGCGTTTATGGGGGACCGCAATGGGCACAGTGGTTCCCCGGCTTCTTCGTCGAATCACGATTCACCAGGGACCAATGTTGCCTCCACCTTGCATCCATCCACTGACATCGACGGCATAGATCCATGTTCACCACATGACTGCGATTCATGCAGTTGTATGGAAACTATACAGTTAGCAACGGACCGTTCTGCACCGAATGCAGCCGACCCCGATCCATGCAGTTGCATGGAAACTATACAGTTCGCAACGGACACTTCACCACCCACTGAAGACGACCCCGATCCATGGCGTTGTATGGAAACTATACCGTTAGCCACGGACCCTTGTCCCCCTAACGAAGATAACCCCGATCCATGGAGTTGTATGGACAACATACAGTTACAACTGGACCCTTGTTCACCGAATGACCAAGATCCATGGAGTTGTATGCAATCCATACAGTTAGATGCAGAACAGAGTCGTGCTCATTCCGACCCCGGGGATGCGACGTTGGACTGCATCCATTGGATTAACTGGATTGACCACCACAAGCATCTATTGCACGAGTGCATGACACAGCCGTGGTTTATGCAATTAAAAGCGCATTGGAAACAATACTATCAACAACATGCGACAAACGAAGTATCTGGCAACAGTGAACACTGTGAGCACGGTCATATCCCGTCCGCAGACATGACGAAACTGCGGTTGTAGAGACAGTGGGTCGCACAGCAACATCGGCACATGCGTATGTATGGCCAGGAGGAGTGGTTCCAGCATTTGTTGAATAATGTAGAGGAGGAGACAGCATCGCAAAACGGCGAAATACCTGGCGTGGACAAAGACTTAGAAGTGGAACAAGTCATGGCAACAGAAGATATGCTACGAGTGAGAGATACACCGCGCTCGCAACTGCATCCGCTACTGTACCTCCACAAGCCGCTATGCGCTAAAACATGGATACTGATCCTGGCATTAGTCATAGAACAGTGCGAGCTCGAACGCAGTTTGCAGGCTAGGGAGTTATATGTAGATGACCTATTGGAGCAACTGTGACACTAGTATGACGGGGCATATGAATGCGACATAACGCATGCTGACCGTAGACCACTTTTACTTCATTATGTGCTATACACAATATATTTCGGGTTTACATTATTCTATACATTCCTTTTTTTTTTTTCTGCTCTGTTCTGCTTGTGCTTACTGTTGCTTTTGTTTTGTTCTTTTTCTGTGTAGTCCACTTCTTTTAACATGACCATAGGAACAAGGTGCGTACCGGTTACATGCATATAAAATGTAGATTTAACTGAATAATATGAACGGGTCGTATTCTCCTTTATGTGACGTTAATTATTAAAAGATGAGCAAGTGCATTCTACGGGTATAGTGCAGAACAAACATAGCATGCGCATAAGCATTCGAGTCTAAGGAGAGCTTGTCTCTCCGAGCAAACGCGGCCGGGTAAACCGCATTGTATCCGAGTGTAAGATAGGAGGATGCTTGTCTCTCCGAGCAAACGTGGCCGGGTAAACCGCATTGTAGCCGAGTGTAGGAAGGAGGAGGATTGTCTCCGACTAAAGCGGTTCGAGTGCAGGGGTCAGAGGGACGCATTCGAGTAAGGCTTTCGCGGGACGGATTCGAGGGAGGGAGCAGAGAGCGCGGAACGGGGAGGACGGAGAGGGAATACACATATTATGTGGGCGAGCAACAACGACGCCAGGAAGGCGGCAACGACGGCAGAAGCAGTTAATGTTGTTGTTCTTACTGCGGGGTTTTAGGTGTACGCAGAGACCGTGTGTGTGACAGGCGTTTCGTGCACACCGGTGTAGAAAGCGGAGCGGGGGCATTCATGTCGCGTTGTGTGTGTACGGTAGTCGTAGTAGTACTTTTTTTTTCCCGTTCTTCTCGTTACTTTTATGCTTGTTTTTTTTTGGTTTTTTGTTCTATTCTTTTTTCTTTTTCCATTATTCCTTTTTGTTCTGTTTTCCAATATATGCGTTTTTTTATTTTCTTTTTCCCCCCTGTTTCGCAATTATTAATGAAGCATACACTTCTTCTACAGCGTTTAGTTCACGAATATGTTTTATTAATGTGAACACAGTTGCTACTGTGACAAGTCAAGGGCAGTTGTGCAACAATATAACAACTATGAGGCAGTGTAATATGTGCCACAACAGTTGAATAAACAGTTACAGTAATAGACGCAACATGGCCGCGGCCTTACGGAACCTATTGGTGGATTATATTCAGCAAAGGAACATGCACGGACAGCACCAACCATATCAGGTAATTTTAATGCGCACGTACCATGAATAGAAAAGAGAGAGGAACATGGACAGAGAACATAAACGACGGGATTTTATGACAAATGTGAGTTGAGGCGTTATGGAGGCAACATATTAAACATTGTGGAACCGGCAGGAGCACACTGTTATACATATCATTTTATTCGATCATAGAAAGCAATATGGGATGACATAAAGCAATTGTTCGACGACTTCACAAGGACTATACAACAACCGGATGACACCTTCGCTAAGGCCACATGTGAAGCGGGCGAAAAAGAGAAAAAAATACAAGCAAAGGAGATGAATATGTGCCGGATGGTAGTGAGCATATTACTATACATGAGCCATGGTGACACGCACGCAGAACTGCAAAAGAGGGCACATGAACACGACACAGAGTTAAAAGCATGTATTAGAACTATTATCGGAACTGTGACTATACAGCACTTATTGAAAAGATATTGCAACGCAGATGAGGTAGTCCAGTCTGCTGTCAGCATGGTCAATATGATGGACGAAGATATTGGCCCAGGGGTGGTGAATAATACAGGGTGCCCGGGCTTGAAGGTGCAAGGATTAGCGATAGGTGGAAAGGATGTGACCAGTACAATAGGACAATGGATATTGCAGGGAAACATTCTGGACGGTGGCACAGGCCACGTGGATTGGAATGCCGGCTGCGGGGACGCGACTAGTACCAAGAAACCTCTCACCAGCATAGAAAGCTTGAGCGCCCTCCAGACTATAGTGGTACAGCACGCGCAGCAATTGCAGGTGCAGGCCAGGGACATTACGGACAGTATTCAGAAGACACCGAATGGTGCGCCAGACAGCAAGGACAATAAGGGAGCAGCAACACCATCAACGGACACGTCAGGTAAGGACCGATGGCAGAAAGCACGAATGCGACCACTACGGCCGCTATGGATCATACTGCCGAATATGGCTGCCGCCGCCACAACACAGCAACAACGCACACGCACGGACAAACAACGCACGGACGAGCAACATCGGTGCGCAACAGCAAACGATTTTGCTGACGTGCAGTGGCCATGAGCGGTATCGGCCACGACGGCAACTGTAGCGGTTGCGGAGCGGCCGGAGATGAGTGCCCACGGCAGCGGAGACGACATGACGGCAACAACATAAAAGTTGTACGGCTACCATCTAGTCCAAGTTCACCGAGTCGTACATCGACCCACTGCATCGACGCATGCAGCCGACCCTACCCTGCCACTACCTGATCGAACCGTCCCGGCCCCCTTCTTTCTGTGCCACTTGTGTCCTTTTTTTTTTTTATCATCTACCATCTGTCTTCTATCCTATAGCATCAGACCAGAGCAACAAGACAGGCCAGGACTCCTCTCCGAAGGCTTCAGGGAAAGAAAAAGCAAGTAACGGACCACAGGGAACAGGCACCACACCATCAGGAACATCAGCAGATACATCAAACCTGGGAAGGGCAGATGTCACACCTGGACGAAAGGACGGGGGTTCCCAACCACAAGCACCTGCATCCCCAGTCTTACCAGCAGCACCACCACCTCCTGCTCCACCACCAGAACCGGCACCAGAAGAAGGGAAAAACGGAGCACAAGGTGATGCAGCACCGGCACCACCAGCAGGAGCAGAACTAGGGCGCAAGGGTGATGCAGGACCAGCTGGTCCACAGGGAGAAACTGGAGCAGAGGGTGAAGCAGGTCCAACCGGACCACAGGCGGATCCCGCATCAGGGGCAGCTGCGGGACCCGTACAACCACCCCGACCTGCGCCACCACCAGGCCGGCCTAGTGGAACAGAGGATCAAGCAACCACATCACCACTACCCGCAGCTCCACAGCCGCCTAAGAAGGACGACACTACCCCAGTTACAGCACCGGCAGCAACATCTCCAGGTAAGGCGACATGTCCTGGTAGTAACGGCCCATCTCCAGGTGTCTCCATTAGTTGTGAGACTACCTCGGATGAGGTATTAGGCATGACACCAGAAGTCACAAAACTCCTGGCGCAGGACGAGAAGGAGCGGGCAAAGGCACCCATTAGTCCTAACCCAAGTTCAGAGACAGGTGAATCTAGCAGTGTGCACGCAACACATATGCACTAATAACAGTAGTGAAAAAAAAACAAAAACCAAAAAAAAAACACATTTTCCGCAGAGAGCGGGAGAGACAACACGGAGAGAGAGAAACCAAACGTCGAATGAGAATGAGCGGCAGAGCGATCGGCCGAGCGACGGGGCGATGGGTCGGCCGCTGGATGTAGACGTCGACAGGCGTGGATGTCGACACACACACAATGTGTGTTGTGTTGTGTGTTGTGTGTTGTGTGGGAGAGAGAGAGAGTCTTTTCCCGGAGTGGCACCAGCCAACCACCGTTCGCACCGTCCCCGTGCCTCGTCACTCGACCGGCGGTCAACCGTGCCCCGTGCCATGTCCCGCCGTCCGTCTCCTACCACGCCGTCGTACTGCCATCCGACGCCTGGCTCCATCCCCGTGGCACCATGTGGGCAACCGTGACAGTGTTGTCAAGGCTCGGTTGGAACCGTATGGCCAACCACCCGTGGTCTATCATGGGCAATCACCACACAAAACCTTGCATGTCATCATTGTCCTTTTCCCAAACCTTCTTTCAGGACCTGCAGTAAACGTGCCTGAACCACAACCAGCACCAAAAGACCCTGAGCCAGATAAAGCGCAACGACCCTGCAGTCCAGATGATTTCGACCTCTCCAGTAGCTTCGGCGGGGGTACCCCCACGCATTGTACGAAGGGTGCCAGTAGTACCTCTTCCTCAGACAGCACTTCTTCATGTAGTGGTACTAAGAGTAAGGAGGCTGTTGCAGGGGGTGGTAGTACTGCAGGAGGCCCCAATGCCATTACTGGGGGCACACAGGATGGTCATACGTCGCGTTCCGCGCAACCTGCACCGTTCCCTTTCGACCCAGTAAATATATTTACACAGGACATAGAAAATGTCGCAGGAGGATTCGTACCACCGGTTCCAGCACATGGAACAGTGCGTTCATCGAATAACAACCAAGGTCCCGGACACGTTAGCCACGCTGTCCCCGACCTAACCGGCGACGTCCTTACCGCCACTACTCCCATCCTGTTTTTTCTCACTTCCGTCATCGTCGCCCTCCTTGGTTATTCCCTTTGGAAGGTCAGTATATACGACAATGCGGGCATGCCGCATGTGCAGGATGTTTATACCGCAGAACATCCCTACGCGCACCAATATATGATCGTTCGCACCACTATACTCCTACATCCGCGTTCATTCCTTTTATCCTAGCGTCCTCACCCTGCTCTTTACTCCCGTTTTCTGCTTAGTATTTTGCGTACCTCGCCAAACGACGACGAACGTATCGAATCGTTCGTGACGTTCCGTCACCGCCACTCGACGAAGAAATTCTACAGCATCTACAACGTGGCCACCTGCCGCCACCCGATTACGGGTACACGATGATTAGGGATAGGCAGCCCGGCAGATTGCCCGCCGCCCCACGCCGCGGACAACGCCCACCCCGCGTGCATAAGCGCACCATCATCGAGCTACACTTAGCAGTGCTCCACGAATGTGAAGCAGCCGAGTGGGATACGGTGCAAGAGCACTATTGGCAGATTGTCGTGGAGGAGTTTGCGCAGGAGTTGATGCGAGACGAGGAAACGAAGAACAATATCTTGGGTGTTTCCACCGCAGACCATGGTTCTCCACGCACCAATGTTCTATCCACCGTGGATCCACCCACTGACTTCGACGGAACGAACCCATGTCCACCTAACGACCAGGACACCAATCCATGGAAGTGTATGGAACCTATACAGTTAGCAACGGGCCCTTGTCCACCGAATGAAGAGGACCCCGATACATGGAGTTGTATGGAACCCATACAGTTAGCAACGGAACCTTGTCCACCGAATGAACACGACCCATGGAGTTGTATGGAAACCATACAGTTAGCAATGGACCCTTGTCGACCTAAGGAAGAGGACCCAGATCCATGGAGTTGTATGGAAACTATACAGTTAGCAATGGACCCTTGTGCACCGTATGACTGCGCTTCATGCAGTTGTATGGAAACCATGCAGTTAGCAAAGGACCCTTCTGCATCTAACGCCGATGACCGATGGAATTGTATGGAAACTATACAGTTAGAAGAGGAACAGCGTCGTGCTCATTCCGACCCCTGGAATGAACACGCAACCCCCAACTTGCACACGTACTGGATCCCTTGGATTGACCGCAAGAAGCATCTAGTGCAGCAGTGCACGACGCAGCCGTGGTTGCTGCAGCTAACGTTGGCATGGAAACAATACCTGCGTGATCACATGGTGGCAGACGCAGCATCCGGTGAGCACAGGACAGCCGCAACCATGGACAGCAAGAAGCACGCATGGAAACAGTGGATAGCGCAACAACATCGGCAAATGAGTGTGTACAGGGAACAGGAGTGGTTCCATCATTTGTTGGTCCACATCCAGGAGGAGACAGCACCGGAAAAACGCGCAGTACCTATAGCGCAAAAAGCCTTAGAACTGGACAACGTAATGGGAACAGAAGATGTTCTACGAGTGAGAGATGTACCACGCACCCAACTGCATAAGCAACCTTACATGAAAAAACGGGCAACCGCTAACATATGGATACTGCTCCTGGCATTAGTCATAGAACAGTGCGAGGTCGAATGTCGTTTGCAGGAGACGGAGTTATATGTGGATGACCTATTGGCACAGCTCTGACATTCGCCTGACGGCGCTCATGCATGGGAATAACGCATGCTGACCGTACACCACTTGTACTTCATTATGTGATATACATAATATATTTCTGGTTTACATTATTCCATACCGTCTTTTGTGTTCTGCTCTGTTCTGCTTACTTGTGCTTACATTTGCCTTGTTTTGTTCTTGTTATCTAGTGAACTTCTTTTAACATGACCATAGGCACCGGTGCGTACCCGTTACATGCATCTGCAATGTAGAGTCAAATGAATAATATGAACGGGTAGTATTCTCCTTTATGGGAAATTAATTATTAAAAGATGAGCAAGTGCATTCGAAGGGTATAGTGCAGCACACATATAGCCTGCGACTACGCATTCGCGTATACGGAGCGCTTGTCTCTCCGAGCAAACGCGTTGACCAACGCGGCCGGGTAGAGGCCATTGTCCGCGTAACGCGACCGCGCGGAACAAGGATTCGACGAAGTGGCCGCGTCAGGGGTTCGAGGGAAGGATTTGACCAAGTCGCCGAGTAAGAATCCAGAGCGGGAGCAGAGAGTGGGGGGCGGAGGCGAAGGAACACACATATTATGTGGGAGGGCGAACAGCGTCGGCAACAACGGTAGCAACGACGGCAGGACGTAGAAGGACGAATTGATGTTGTTGTTGCTACTGCGTTTTTTTTGTGTACGCAGAGACAGTGTGTGTGACAGGCGTTTAGTGGAGCACGGTGTAGACAGGGGGGAGGGGGTGTATATTCATGACGCGTTGTGTGTAGTGTACTGTTTCTATTTTTTCCTTTCTATTCTTTTTTCCTTTTTGGTACTTTACTTGGGCAGATTTTTCATGT